TGCCCGTTGGGCCACGTGAAATGGCGGCGGCGAGCTTGCAGCTCGCACGCAACATGGCTGCTGCCCTGCCCCCGCCAAGAAACAGACATTAGATATGGGAAAATCCCTTATGGCGAAAATGCACCGTAATATGGCCCAACAATGGAACTGGTTAATAAACTCAGTTCTAGAACCCCCGACAACATAATCATTATGTGGGAGAAACTGTTTCCCAAAGGAGCTGTGCTTGGTACCTTGTATAGAGACCCCATGTGCCTCATCTTTCCACAGCAAACAATAGAGGTGTTTTCTGGTTATTTCTGAAAAGTAAGCAAATTATGGGAAATGTGCTTATTTATTATAGGAAGTCAATTTGTTAGCAACAAAAACAGCTAATGGATTCAGAAATAAACTTGAAAGGTGGGGAATGTAATTATTTGAGTGTTTTGCTTTTTACTTCAAGGGATGTGTAAGGAGGATGTTTGCTGTCTCTCTTTGCATGGGAAGATGGAGTTGGGGCATGGCTGTCAGCAGAGAATGGGTTTCTCCAGTCATGAGGATGGTTTGCATTGAGCCAAATGATGCATTATCACCTCAGTCCTTTAGTTCAGCAGGAAAAGATGGGCAACCAGGGCTAGAGGGAAATTTGTGGCCATACCACAGGTGAACCCAGAATCCCATTGGAGGACTGGAAATGCTGATCTTGGTCTCTGCCCTGATGAATCAAAACAGATGCTAGTGTTCTTCCTGTGAAAAAGTTTGGTGTTAAAACGGAATTTGCATTTGTTTTACAACTAAGTGATTATAATGAACCTGTGGTTAAAATCATGCCCCTAGAGGGTATTTTACTGTAATTTTATTTGAAAATTGGCCCTGAGAAAGTATTGGTTAGGCTTTTTGACGATATATCTATTCATTCCTGGCCAACTGGAGCAGGAAACTCTGAAAACAGCATGATGAGAAATGCCTTTCAAATCAGAGCTCCATTTTCTCAAACTATATCATTAAGGAATGGCCAGTCTATGGTCATTCATCCTTCAAGAGGAGAAAGTTATATCTGCTTTGTCCCTGAGTGGCTAAGATGAATGGCAGTGAGAGGAGTGAATTTTCTTTCTTCCAGAATGGGTTGACTGAGTTAGCTGCCTTTGGCTGCAGAATAAGAAAAGCTGGCAAAATCCTCCAAATAGAGGATTCCTGGCAGACATGGGATGTGTGCAGGGTATCTAAAGCTATAAAGTCCAGTAAATATTTTTTGGTGTCTGGATTCAAAGTCTCAGGATCTAGCTTGAATTGGGTTTCAGTCCCTCTAGAAGTAAATTCCACCCTGATAAATGGAAATAGATTACTTTCTACACAATGTCTTTCCGTTCAGTTGTAAAGGAGAGCGTTTTGAGGAGGCTTCATTTAATAATACCTTATCAGACAGCTTTCAGGAACCTGCAGTGTCTAATATGTCTGTTGCCATGGTAACAGCTGCTTGCTTATGCTCTGCATCTCATATCTATGTCTTCCATGGACCCCCTTCTTTTTACTGATGAGGGGGCTTGAAAAATATTCTCCTCTGGGAATAATTGCAGCGCTGGCCCTCCACTGTGGAAACTGCACCCACAGCACTGTATTCTGCTTGGCCTACTGGAAACAGAGCTCCAAATGGTGTCTTCGTATCTGTCACATGAAAGAAGGAAATCTAGAAAGCTTAAGGGAGAGAGACAAGTGCCCCTGTGCACCTGGCGGAGGCCCACCCCTAATGTCAGTTTCACATAACTAAGTCTCATATACAGAGAAGCTTGAGGTTTCACATTGGTGGAGGGGATGTAGGAGCTGCTGCTCTGTGCCTTTATTTTCCCAATCTTTCGGGGAATGAGGGTTGAGGGTGGGGGCCCATGTTTCTGGCCCCTGAATGAGAATGGGAAAGACCACCAACCATGCATTTTCAATACTCTTAAATTATTCTAATTGATCACTGTCTTTCTAAGTGACAGGACACACCACTGGGATCCTGGAGCACTAATACAGGGAAATTTTCTTTGTTCCTTAATCACTTAACAAAATATGGCTTCACAATGAAGATGGAGATTGGCTTCTGAGCAACCCAGGAATACCTTTTTCTCCAGCCCTTCATCTTTCTCTTCCCTTTGGTAGTTCTTAATTATTCTGTATTTTTTGTACACACACATATTTCCCTTTCATGCTTCTGGCCCCTACACTGCCTGCAGTTTTCTCTGTATCATTCTTTTGGGTGCAGAAGTTTGTCCCCTGTGATTTTTCAGCAAGTGTCTGTGACTCTCTGTGCTCCGTGTGCGTCTGTGAGTCTCTGGGACAGGCTAGCCATCTGGTCCCCCACACTGGGGCTCTTGAGGGGCCACTGGCCTGAGGGCTGTCACACCCACCTGGGTACCAGCTCTCTCACGTTGTCTCCATCTCACAGGAAGGTAATGAAAATAATCGGGCTTCATTAATTCCAAGCCCTGTGAGATGATAGCCATTTGGAGCCTGTTTGCCAATTAGATGGTCTAAATTAGAAGTGACCTTGGTATACTGCCACTGCTTGCCTCTCTGAGTCTAATGAAGCTTTTCTCTCCAATTCATTCTCTTTCTCAGCTCTCTTCTCCTCCTCCCTGCCCCCCTGCATTCCTGTTTAGCTGCTCATGTGTTTCCTGTTCTCCCACCCACCTTCTTTTTCGATCTTCTTAGTCTCAGTTTTTAAAATCTGGTTCTGGGCTATGTTTGTTTCTGGCCCACAAGAATGTTAACATGGCCCTGCAGTTTTTTCTTGTGAGTTTTATTTATTAAAAAGAAAAATTGAATAAACCACCACATAGAAGCCATTTTAGGAAGGAAACGAGATAGAGAGAAGCTAGGCCCACTAGACCCCATAGTCTTGTGCCCTGCCTGGCACATTTAGAAGGCAGTAAGGGAAGGAGGGAAAA